TTAACGAAAACGTTCTCCAAGAGAGAATTAAATTTAGAGGGGGAGGATCAATTCCAGGGGGGGGGTTTTATAGTGTTAGAAAGGGGTGGTTAAATTAATAACCAATTATTGGATCCGGATTCGTCGATATTTGCTTCGCAAGCAAAATTCAAAATATCCCCGAAAGAGCTACCTTTCGTAATATCAAAATATTTCATTAATTTCTAATTATTTAAGGGTTTATGCCCGACAGCCGGCCAGGGGCCCAAGCAAAAGGCTTGTTGCAGTCGTGTGCTTGTCATTGTAGTTGTCGTTGTTGTGGTTGGTGTTGTTTCCGCGGTAGTTGTCTCGTTGTTGTTGCTTTCTTGGCCCAGCTTGGGTCGATATTGGCGTATCTTAGGAACTATCTAAGCATCTTGGGAAATGCATCTTGGGAAATATGCTAGCCCATCTTGTCGCTATGTTAGCCCATCTTGGGGCTATGTTGGCCCATGTTAGCCCAACATCCGCCCACGATGCAGACGAAGCACCCCGGTGCGACACGCATTTCCAACATTATTTGGGGCTATATTAACCCATCTTAAGCCACAAAGCCGAAGAAATGGAAGAAACATAAATCACTGTAAAATACAATATTTCCGCAAGGAACTCCACTCTCTCCTTCGAAAAAAAGAAATGCCTACGGCAAAGACACGGCCATAACGAGGCCCCTAGCCGAATTTTACCGATTTCCCCTAATATCAATATAATATGAAATATTTTATTCCAAAGACATATATTAAATTCCTTATTATTAAAAATAAACAAATCAATATATTTTCAATGTATCAATTATTATCAATCCTATTTCCAAGAAATCCAATATATATATATAAATATATTAATTAATTCTATAATTATTATAATTATATTAATATATTTCAAACCGTTATAATATCTATTTGTTTATTTAACATATTAATTTGTACAATTATTACAAATTATACATATCTATCCATCTATACAATAATAATTATATTCATATATATATATATATTAACATATTTATATATTTCAATATATCCAATAATATATTTCATTTATTATTATCATTATATATATATTAATTTTCTATAAATATGAAATATATTTAAATATATTATTATCATTTTTAAATAATATCACATTTCATGATATAATTAATATATATATAATAATATTGAATATGTACAAAAGAAATTATTTATATAATTATTTGTTTTCGTTGAATAAGATTTAAAATATCGGAAGATGTTATTTGATGGTATCAGAATCCTCTGCCTTTGAAGGAAAATAGTCCTGTAGCATCAAAGAGAATGATTCCAATCATTGTTTTGGGAATCGATTCAAACATAAATTAAATTGCAACAACATATTTCATCCATCGTCTCCTCTTCATCATCGGTATCGCAAACGGCCAGGTCGAACCTCATGCACAATCCAACAGTTGAAGCAACCTGTGGCAAAGCCATTGGAGGAGGGGGTCAGTCCCCAATGTTTCCCAAACACTTCAAGCTTGGGCACCTATTATGATATACTCATGTCACAAATGGTTTGAAGATGGACAATCTGAGAATGCTGTCTGAATGCTTCACATCATAAGCTGCTCTTGGATTCCAAAAGATGCCCGAATGGAAGAGATCGAAAGAGATGCCCGAGGTCCTGGGACGCTGGACCGCTGCGGCGGTGCCTGAAGCTGGGCAAGACACACATTGAAAAAAAAGGTCAAAGAAAAACACTATCTTATACTATCTTTGTCCGAAGCTCATGCTGTTTGCTGAAGATCATGCAGCCCTTGATGGACAGGACGCAAGAACTCCTACGCTCCAATCTTGGAAAACATTGGGAATGCTTGTTCCCTTGGTTCAGTCACATGTTTCACTTCAGGAATGATTTCATTCCATGTTAATTGTCTTAATTTCCGATGTATTTCATCGATCTCCATTCCTCAAGTGCCCGACCTTGGCTGCCTCCAAAGGCCTGTGGGCAACGCTGTTGGGCTACTGTTACAATGCTACAAGGATCTGGACCAATTGCGTCGAAACCGCAGCTGTCGAGGTTGTCGCCCATGTCTGGGCATGTTTCGCCCATGTTTTCTCAGACATTGGCCGCGTCACTGGGCAGATGCAAAAAAAAATGGTCCGTCTCCAATTCCGAAATTGCATGATTCCTATCATGGTGCTCCCCACCAAAATCTCTCTGCTCGAGGAGTTCCGTTCCAAACACCGCAGGCTCCGTCACCGCCTGGGCTCCTCAGAGGGTGCAGGTTCAGCAGGCTTCACCTGCAAAAGTTGAAACAGCGCAGGAACTGCCGTGGAAGGATGGTAGTAGAGCTTCTGAAAGGGGGTTGTAGTGGTGGTTTGTAACAGGTGTAACTTGTGTAACCTCAAAAACGAGCTCCAAGCCTCATATTGATGTTCAACTTTCGCTTCTGCTCAACCAGTTTCACAGGCTGAACATGTTCCAAGGGTAATTAGAACGTATATATTCCGCTCCCCCGGACCACCAGCTCCATGATCCCATCGTTCTATCGGGCCAGCCGAGCCGTCTTCGGGATCCAGCCGTCCCCCAAACCACTTTGTGTTGAGGAAATGCGCACAAGTCACAGTGCCAAATGAAACGCATTGGTGACCACTGGTGTTGAATCCGACTCATACACCTTCAAATCTACAAGCTCTGCATTGGCGTTCCTCGAAACACAATACATATAAATATATTTTCATGACGAATCTGGTCTGCATGGAAACCATCGCAGCTTCCACAAGATCTTGGACCACCGATCGGTGCTGAAGGGAAAATCTCAAAGTTCAACTCGAGCACCTGACCTGATGGGTCAAACCCGCACCTGGCCTCTACCCGTTCTCCACCGTTGTCGAGCGCCAGCGAGACATTTGATTCGCACCGTCCACCGATCTGGGTCCCCCCGGCTTGGGCTTCGGAATCTGGACCTTGGTGCGAAGCAACGAACGGATTGGTGACCACTTGGCCAAGTTCCAAACCATTTTAGCAGGATGCAACAAGCTGTGCACGGATATGATGCGCTTGAACACGGCAAAGCCATCAGCCAAGACTTGAATCGACGGCTTATAATATAACTATACTATTTGAATTTAGATAGTTTTGGAATGTGTTGGACAACTTTGTGTGTGTGCAGGACTTTGTGTTGTTCATTGATTGCACATTGATTAGTCAAGTGGGAAATTATTCCAACACCCTGAATAGTTTAATGAGAGGGAATAATAGCACGTGTTTTTTTGCCCGTTCTCGCCCAGGTTTCTTGCTTTGTTTGCTTTTCTATTGTTCTGACTATTGTTCTGCTATTGATGCTATTGTTCCCCTTTTAAATCCTTACTTAACTCTCTTGAGTTTTGACCTGGAAATCGTTTTCAAAAATGCTTATTACTCCCCAACGATTTCATTGCTCACTACCACTACTACTACCACTAATACTACCACTACCACTATGACTACGACGGCATTTCCCAAGTACAGATCACAAATTGATGGCATATCAAAGGCGTTTTGCCAATGCCAGCAAAGTGTGATTCCCTATACTATTCATACTCCCTGGGGATGGGTTTTAATATTTGAGATTCAACATTGTTCTTGACCCCCACCCAACATAGGATTTTTGGTCAAAACATGGCGAGACCCATTTTTGATCCTTTTTGACAACATTGTCAGATTAGTACAGGTTTACACAGAAAGAACCACATCAGTGACTTCCGTGATCTTCCATGTCCACCGTTCTCAGCCACTGGCGCTGCTCTTTTGGCTGCTCGGGTTCTGTTTGCACTTGCGGCTGCTTGATCACCCACCTGTTCAAGGCTGCGTCTGGCTGCAGCTTCTTCGTCCAGCTATAGCGTCTTGTGGATCAAGTGAGGATATTTGTTGAGTGACACATCCGGAAGCAGTTGGGATTTCTATCTTGACCCGACCAAACAGCCAGCTTTCGTCGACGTTTCGCCTGCCCTTTGTTACGGTATGACTGGGGCTGGTTTACAGAACCATTCCAGCATAGTTTCCCAACATTTATGTGACTGGTGACTGGATAATTAATAAACAATATAATATTATAACTATTACACACACACACCAAACAAACACATATTTTTATATAGACAACTACTGCATACTACTGCACTACTAGGAACAAATGGGTCCTCTAAGTCTTCTGCTCTTCCTTTTCCGACACCTTTTTTGGGGGGCACCAAGAAAAGAACTGATCGAAGACTTTGGAAGGAAAGGACCAACCCTGCGCCTCTTCGTAGAGGTACTGCGGCGATTCGCACCCGCACTCCTTTGCTGTGACTTCGTGTGGATCAGCCGATGGATCCGGCTGGATCCGGCTTGAACGCTTTCTGGACAAGGAGTGATTAGAAGGGGGAATTCTTGAGACCTTTTGTTGTACCAAAGGTCACCAAAGGATACCAAAGGTGGAGTTGGAATAAAGCTAGATAGGAGCAAGGACGCTACTAGGGGCTCCTGGCATCGCTACTAGGAGCAAGGACGCTACTAGGGGCTCCTGGCCGTACTACTAGGAGCAAGGACGCTACTAGGAGCAAAGGGCATCGCTACTATGTTCACAACATATCAATGTCCAGCCGCTCGGCTGGAGGGCTGGAAGCAGCTGGAGGTCTTCCAGCTCAGGACATCTTTTTCAGCTCAGCTCGGATGGGTTTCGCTCTTCATAGGCTTCTGTATCTCCAGCATCTTCCAGAACTCTGCAACTTAGAAAGTCTGCAACTATTGGTCGCTCCAATCAGCGCAGTCACAGCAGAACACTCCTAAAACTCAGCAGCACCGATCACCGTTTCGAGTCTCGAGAGCCGGTTTCGAGCGCAACGATCACCGTCCTGTTTCGCCCACGGGATGTGGCGCGTGTGTGGTTCCTTTCATCCTCGGCCAAGCGCAGCGCTTTCAGTTCGGCTCAAATGGCTCTTGGATCCTGGACTCCCCGAGATCTTCCGCCTGGGCTCTTACTACCCAGTCGTAGGCCCAATTCCAAAATCAAGACCACCTGGTCACCTGCCCCAACAGCAAACCGGAATGAATGAAGTCAAAGCCATTCAAAGCCTTGCAGGTACATGCAGGTACTACTTGCCGTGGCCTATAAACGAGCAAGCAATCAATTTAAGGGAACTGGGAGATGATGTGGAATACTGTGGAATGAACCAGTCGCAGAAGATGTCGTTTTGGAAAGTAGGCTCTCTCGAGCTCTCTCACGCAAGCTCGTTCGGCTTGCCCTCCACCACTGGGAAGTGCCTTTTTCACCGACCCGATGACCACATCCATGGCTTACGCGGGCTGAAGAGATGATATCCAGGCCGATCCTTCCGCCAATTTCTTCGCCAAGCAATGGCTTTGGATGGTTTTGGGTTCCATTTGGTCTGCCGCATGCAGGGATGATTTCTCAACCACAGCAGCATCCCCTCCGGTCCGTGGGTCCCTGGGTGTCCTACTGCGCGGGACAAGATCGCACGGAAAGAACTGGTTCCTTTCAAACTCACAAAATGTCCTCCATCAAGGCCCGGACCTCCCTCAAAACTGTTCGCCTTGCATACAGGGGGCGAAAGGAATGAGGCTTCTTCAATGGCATGGGGACGGGAGAGGCAGGGCGTCACAATGATAAATGTGTTCTTTGATTCTTACTTTGCGAGAAAACATCACATGTTAAAACATTTCAGGCTGGAAAGCAGCAGTGCTTTTGGGGCCAGAAGGCAAATGTAATGTGGTCGATGTGCAGTCTGTCAACATACTTGAAGTTCAAACAACCTGCTATATAAATGACCATTTATCATAAATACTAATCCTATATGGTTGCATGAACTTCAACTCCGGCACTCAGCTACTGCGGCTACTACTGCCACCTTCCCTGCTACAGCTACTGCTACCGGAATGTACCGGACCAGCTTAAGCTGCCAGCTCTGGCACGTACAAACTCCCGAACCATCGAGTTGCGGCCTCAAGGTGTCCCGCGCTTGGCCTCAGCAGCAGATTTGGGTGTTGTTCGTTGCCGGGGATCCTTTCGGAGCAAAAAACGACTTCGACCGACTTCGACCTCGGTCCAGCCCGGTACGTAAGCGACCGAAGGACGCGTTCTACGATGTGTCTTTTCGGTGACAAGACATCCCTGGCTCTGAGACTCTTCTCAGTCCTCAGGACCCACCAACCTCTTTTCTTCGTCCCATCTCTCCACCAAGGCGGTGACCATCCCTCGAGCGTGCTCGAGTTCCATTGTGTGACCGAACGCCTGAGCTGCGGCGACCCAGTGATAGGTGATTCCGGTATGGAAAGCCATTTCCATCCACTTCCGCATGTTTTCTTCTTCATCCAATAAAAGACTTCAAGAGAAGGACACAAGCAACCAACCAGCAATCCTGGTCACCTTTGATCAGCTAATCATCCTGATCCGCAGGAACTGCGCCTGGTCGCTGGACTTTGCCATGAAGTCCAACCTTTCAACTGCGAACTGCCAAGGCGTGGGCTACATCAGTGTGGTCACGAGCCACAGGATTGTTGTACCTGTCTACAGCAGATTCTGCTGTCATCTATCACTCAAAGAACCATGCATGGCATTGTTTGAGAGGTTGTTTACTTGTTTGGTGAAGCTTTCTAGAGGTCATTACTTGTAGGCGGATTGGAACCAAAAAACACTGCCAAATCCATCGGTTCCACCGTGTTCCTCAACCAATCATGGCTTTGGGGGTCCATGCCGTGAGACCGAGCTAGCTTGCCAATGCTGGAGTAGTTTGACCTTGTCTGATAAGCTGACTTGATTTTCCATGTTGGATCATGTTAGCCAGTTGCTGTATGAGTTGCTGTTATGGGTGTCATGGGTTCTTGTAAAGAGGCCAGGCTGATGTCATGGCTGGGCTCAGTATGATTCACTGGGCACCGACCACCGGGGATTTGGTCAATTTCAACCGACCTCCCTGGCAGCCTCACCTCATCGTCTTCTCCTGACAGTTCCAAGGTAGCATGGAGCTTCTCATGTCGAATGGAGCTGCATCGATGTCCAGGCTGCCAAAACGAGCCCCCAAGATGTACATCTTGAAAACACATATCCCTAATGTCAACACGGGATTAGCCAACCCCCCTATTCATCAAGCCCAGCTGGAGCCTCCAATACTAAACTAATTAACACCCTGCAACCTCCCGCTGATAATATTTGTTCCTTGCCAGAAATGCCCCCTATTAATCAAACCCAGCTCCCCCAGAAAAATAACAAATATAGTTTACTATTTAATTGTTTTACATTCTTTTTTTGCTAGTATTCAATATCTTCTGGTCCATGGTGAAACTGATCTCTCATGATTCACATACCATCCCATCAACCATCGCCCATCATCAGGTCCAGGTCCTCATCTCATCATCCATCATCAGGTCATCACCTTTATTAGGGGGATGTGGTCTCCAATCCCTCCAATCCCAAACCTTGTCGTCCTTGTTGACCTTGAAGGGGGGAGTTGATGAATCCGGTGTGGACATGATTAGGATCTCCATCCGGCCCTTGATCTATTTGTTGCTCCATTTTCTAGTGGAACTGAATCCCCATTTTATCAATTGAGTTCAAACATATAGTGGAACTGATCCATATTGTAGTGGAACCACTCAAGAAGGATCCCAAAGAGCCGAAGTCGACTCGCCTCGCCTTGGGATCGCTCGACGGGTCGAAGGGGTTGCGTGCGCTGCCTCGGCGGCCGGTTTTCGGTGGGTCGGGTCGCCGGTATCGGTTGGTGTCCGTTGGTTTGGAGGGGGTTTGGGATTCCAGCGATGGGTTAGATGTATTCCATGCCAAGTTTGCAGCAACTCTTGAATCTCAAGCATATGAATCACACTACATCATACTACATCATACTACATACAGTATATGAAGCGAAGCAAAGGGCAAAGTATGGCAAAGCACGAAGCGGGAAGAGTAGGCATATACAGTATGTCCTCTTTTGCAAAGGCACAATGGGTGGGTTCACGACGCCAATGTGCCTTTAATCACATGCATTATGCATGCATCACCTCCGAGCCAGAGTACTTTAATTTGGATGAGCGATCCTAGGAGTCCATAACCCACCCTGTTCCAGGTCCCATCACTAGTAGCGATGTGTTACTAGTAGCGTTTCCAGGGTAAGATTGCTTGGAATGGAGTCCCATCATCCTTTTCTTTACACTAAGGCCCCTTGCGCGAAAAAGGCTCTTCGCCGAAGCTCAGTCGCCGCCATGCCGATTGGTCGGGAGGTTAGTGCGTTGCAATGTTGGACCATCACGGAGATGTCCTTTAAATCACTTGAAATCAATGGAGATTGCCTTAACTTGGCAATGTGAACAGCAGTTTGCCGGCTGACCAAGCAAATGTGAAGGGACAAGACACAGCGCTCTCTGTGAGCAAGTGCCAGCGCAGAATGGCGAGCCTTTCTTTGCATTCAAAAGACTGCACAAACCGGAATCCGCCGACCGCAAACATGAAATCATGATCCGCAACCTCCTAAACACCAAAGAACAACAGCTTGCAAAGGAACATAACAAACACATAATGCACACTTTTGCAAATTTGTTGGAGATGTGAGATGTCTGATTGGTATTGTAAGAGTGCCAGGAGTGTTCTTGCGATACAGTGTTTTCTAGTCTGACACCACTTGCTTTCACTTTCCTGGCTCAATGTTCAGAATTACAATTTACGCAGGCAGTTGGCACAAATCATCTTCTATTCAAGTTGCAAACAGCCTATACATAGAGTTGAGCTAAAAGTGCTTCTTCGATTGTGCTCTGAATGAGAAGCTAGGCCTATCCTATCCCATGCATTGCTTCATAAGTGTAAGGCCACCGGTGTGCAGGTTCACCTCTGAACCACCCAGCATAAACATATATGCAAAACAACACAGCATATCCGCACAATTATATAATAGCTCTCCCTGGTCCCAAGAGCTGCATGGGCTTCTTCTCTCTTTTCACCGCGGTGAACATGGTCCGCCGGCTGGACAGGATGCCGTGCTCCACCCTCCTGCAGCAGGGTGGAATGGACTGCAAAAAAACACACAGAAACTAAAATAGAGGTAATTTCTGAGTCAGGCCAGTCCTTCACAAGATTCCCTCAAGATGCCCCCCCCACACCAGGACTTTTCTGGGTTCGGCTGCAGCACTGGCCACAAGTCACATGTCACCAAACGCCGAACGGACCGAGCGGTTCGGATCCACAAGATGCATGCCTAAGAACAACATGCATACAAATGACTTACCTATCACATCCTATCACCATCCAACAACTACCTCCTGGTAACCCCTTTGCAAACCTCAACGTCTGGACCACCGCTTCTGGTGGGTTTGGAGGGCTTTGGACCGACCTCGTCGCCGACCGCTCGTTCCGACTAAACGTGCATCGACGGAAAACCCCACACTGCTGGCTCTCATTAACCCATGCAGGTAGACTCAGACAGACTCAAACTCAACAATATGGCCAAACTCCAAATGAAGAACATAACAACTAACTGTTCGTTGGGGTCCAATCTGCAGGGGCTTGATCGCATCTTGCCATCTCACATCGATTCATGATCTTTCATGAGAATCCTTGAAACTCTCCAAAGCCGGAGACTGCAAAGTTCTGTCCACAAGTCATGAAAAACTTGAGAGAGGAGGGGGTGAACGAAAGGTAGCAGGCAATCACAAGTAACCCTGGTAGAAGTCCATGACGGCGTGAACCGGCGCAGGGGTGATTTGATCCAGGGAGGGGGGGCCCCCCCCCGACGAACAGAATCAACTCTTACAGGACCAAATTCAATGCACAATCCCAACTCCTGATTGTAATACATTTTTGCTAAAGCAAGGAGTGACTGGTCTTGCCTGATGACTCAAACAAATTGGGCTATCAAAATATGTGCTGTGATGTGTTAGAAAGCAAAAGGAACAACCGCCGAAGCCATATTTTTTCTACTCTGCCTCGCACGCCCGCGCCATCTTTTCTGCGTGGCTATGCTCTAGTCTAGGTCTTCTGCTGCATTTCGATCATACTAATACATGTTGAGAGCTTGGATTCCAGCTCAACCAGCAGCTTGCTGGGAACACTTCCCGCTGCCACAGCGGCATCCAGGGATGCCAGCGAAGCTTGTAGCCCGACGCCGCAAAGATCTTCAGCAAGGTAACGCAAGCCTGGTAGGGTTTAGCATGGTTTAGCAGCATGGTTTGCATGTCAACTTGAAGTTGGTTGCGCTGCGTGGCTAAAAGAATGCTATGAATTACTCTTATTGTGAACATTGCAAATTGCTGGAACCCAATTCGTTGGTACATGGTTTCCACCCCAATTCAAAAACTTCCTTGGGCTGGTCATCCGGCCTTGTGCCTTCGCCTTCTTTGTCGTGACCATGTTGGGCGGCGTCCGCGACCGTGACACCGCGCCCGGCCGCGTGCGCCGGTCGCCGGGGTCAGGCCGCTGCTTCGGCCGGTCTTTGCGGCCTCGCAGCGGAGGTGGACGTGGAATGGTGGTGAACATCACTATATACTATATACTGTCTGCATATACATATACATACATATACTGAAGTAACATATTACATAGTTACATATTACATAGTTGACATTATACATGTGCATATTTGTTCACAAATATAACATTATTAGGTTGTATCAAGTGTATCTAATGGACTCAGTATATATATATATATTAATATATATTACTATTGACAATTCTTGTTGTATAATTTTGTATATATGGTTCCTTCACAATCCCCCCCTTCATTCATAATCTTCATGCAAAACTCGTAGCTCAATTCAACAGTGGTGGTGGTTTGTACGGTTGCCAAAGTGGGTACCCCTATGATGGCACTTTCTTTTCCGGGTGAGCTTTTCCCGCAGCATCCTATGTACGAGTTCTGGACTCATGGGGCGTCGGTCTTTGGGGGTAATTCCTTATCAAATCCGATTAGTTACACATGACTATGCCAATGCCTACTGGGCCTACTGGAGTGACTATACATTGACTGCAATAGAAGTGAGCGGCTACGGCTATGGGGTTCCCACTGGGGTTCCCCTGTTCTTGAAGACGATTTGTTCAACGAGGCGAGGTAGTTTTGCTCGAACAGGGAGTCTCCAAACGGCTTGAACTGCTGATATCCTATATATATATAAACCTCATAAAACCAGTTACTAATTTGATTTTGGCCTGACAATCACGTGTCGGGTCACTGTTTTGCTAGACACGGGGGCCACACATGAGCCGTCAACGTCTCAAAGTGTGAGATAGTACTGAATAAGCATAAAATAAAGGAGACTCTGCCATATCAGAACTGAGAGCTTGGAAGACAAGGCACGACAGCATCGTTTCCTTACTGACTTTCCAAGAAATAACAGGAGGCACCCTCAAGTTTATAGGGAAACACAGCGGCGTCGAAAGAGGTCTGCTCCAAACTTCAAGTTCTTTGTAATCTTGCTATTGGAACGCTGTGTGCCTGCGATGAAATGTGGATCGAAGTATGGATCCTTGGTAGCTTCCTCTTTGGCCTGTGGCTTCTCCTTGCCAGAAACAAACACAAACACACTCGCAGATTCTTCACAGTGAGTCATCGCGAGATTCTTTGAGCTGGAAGTGTTCAGTGAATCTGACTGATTTGACTCACGTAAACTTAAACTGCAAGAATCTCGGTATCTCAGCACATCTCTTATTTTCCTCTCAGCTCCAGCTGGCACTCGGCTCCTGCGCCAATGCTGCACTGAGACGTTCGGCCAAAGTGAACTTCTTCCCCGTTGTGTCTAAGCCACGCTCCTCAACGAGATCGGAGACCCTGGGGGGGGGGACCCCGTGAGACTAGCGACGGTTCAGATCTGTCCATCAGAAAATCCCTCCATGCCGCGCAGGATTGGTCAGAGTTGGCACCGCAAAATATCAAAACCTCTGTTCACTGCTTTTTTTCATCTTTTTTCTGATCCATTTTCCAGATCAAGATCTCCCTTCTGATCGCCCTATTGGTATAGGTCATGAAGACACTCAGTCAGTGAATTCAAAACGCCCCCTTCACCATCAACTCCATGCGTCAGCACCACAACAAAACAGCAAAAAAAACACCGCCATGACCCGAGACCGCGCACCCTGCGCGTGTTGCTCGCTCTCCATCGGCACCTGGAGGCGGCTTTGCAGCTCTTGCAGGCTCAAGCGACTCAGCGCCCGTGGCGTCTCCATAGCGCCGGGGGTTCGAGGGTCGAAGGTGCCGGATGGAGGAAGGCTGTAAGGACTACATAGTGGAGGGCGTGGCCAAAATAGCGCACCTGCACTGAACCAATCTAATTGGTTTGGACACAACTGGTACATCCTGGTACATCCCTTTCAGATTGGAACCATCCATCCGCTTTCGACAGTCAAGGTGAGTCATCGGTCAAATCCTCTGGCGGATCGTGGGGAGACGCTTTCGACGGGAATGCCTTGTCTGTTGGCGAAAAGGGCGATCGACCAAAAGGCGATGCCCTGAAGCGATCAACCAAAAGTGAATGCTTTGTCTGTTGTGACAGCTGTCTTTCTTTTGATGTCCCTTTGTCTATATCTCCGACAGGAAACTGCAGCCACTTCAACGTGGTGATCATCCAGGAAGTTTTTTTACAGCGTCAATCACAGGCGCCTTGTTCGCAACACGACTCTTTTAAGACAATCGCTTTGGCGATCCACATAAGCAATTCTAGTACATGATGTAGACATGACCCTCTTGAGGCAGGATATTCTTTTGACTCCTGAAAACACCTGCAGGGCAGGGCTTTTGAAAAGGTGAGGATCCAAAACATCCTCAGCCCAGCTGCCGGTGAAAACAGGGTTCCAAACCGAAGCTCAGCATGGAAAGCATCAGCTGATCAAGCTCATGAAACCTGCCCTCAACTGGCATCAGTCTCCAGGAGCTCAATTCCGCCAGGATTGCTTCTGGTCGTGGGCGCTGTTGCCTGTCGTTTTCATACCATGCTTTTTCCATGCTGCCTATGTGGCAGGGCCCAACTTACTTTAGCCTATCATGCGTTTGCTTTGTGTCTCCGCGTTTGTTTGCGTTTGCTTCTGTCCATCTGGCATTTCCAAATATGTGCTGCAAATCCGCCTACGACGCAAAAAAACACCAGAATGTCGACCATCGCCTGCTGACTCTTTGAGCAAAGCCAAAGGAAGACACCTGCGCCTGGCAAATCTTCAGGTCCCGAGCGTTCATGAAGGGAATTGAAGGTGATGGTACATCAGCGCAATCTAGTACTAAACTTGATGGCTCATGGTTTCTATTAGCCTAGGTTTTGTGCCAAACTGTTCTGGGATGATTCCAAACAGCCTCTGCAGCCGGTTTCCGCCCGGGCTTCACTGCACCCACAACTCAGGACCTGCTGAAACCTCATATCTAAAGGCAACCATCCCACCTTGTAACTGTAAAACCAAAGATGCCAAGGGCATCTGCTGCATCTGCCAATGATTCTGTGGTTTCTCGAGGTCCCTAGAGCAATTCCAACGTCCCTGTGGTCCAAAGGACGTGGACTCCCAGAAGAGTACAAGAATCCAGTGCTTTGGAGAAGACCAATCCCAAGATGTATTATAATTACCGTAACTAACTCTGTATAACTGTATAACATATACATCGTCGTGTTTCTCAGATAGCCATTGGTGTGAAGTGTATGGTATAGGCGGTATAGGTGTTACTGAAATCCCTGAGTTCTCATCCAGTCACTATGGAACAACTCATGCATCACCGCACACCAACATACACCAACCATCTAGGACCAAAGACACATCATCCCACACCGACTCCAGCGGCCTGCGGCCAAGATGAGGACCACAACGACGAGCAACGCACTGTGATGGGTCTTGGCCTTGACCTGGCGATTCGGAGGATGAGTGGCCACCTATAGGCTGACCTCATCCTGACCATCCTCAACTCGCCTCCCTCCAGTCTGGTGCATGAGCAACAGGAATCCGCAGGAACATCACTCCAAGAGATTCAGACGCTACGTGAGCATGCATGGTCCAAGTCATCACACAGTTGTGGAACATCAGTT